GATCTAAAAAAGAAAAAGTACGCATTCCACACGTATTAACATACTTTTGGTTAGATCAACTTGATTAATGTATATATTTCCATGTAGATCATTGTTTCAATTTATTTATTAAAGTTGCTCAACTCTTGGACTCTTATACTAATATCATTATATTAAGTACCAGATTACCTTTTTAAAATTTATATGTTTAATGAGAAAAACTGAATATGTGTAACTTACTAGTTTATTTATGTGCCCTATTTGGTATAGTCGACGCGCTAAGTGCCCTTTTGGTAAAAAAAATTACCATGCCCTTTTTCAGTTCTAGATAAAACACTAAATATATGTCTGATGATAAAAATCAGCAATGGGAAAAAAAGAACAAAACTTAACCGAAATGAAATAAAGAGTAAACATTATTTATAAATTACCTCCTTTCCAAGATTGATATGATACATATCTCGCAAAAATTAAAACCTCAAAAATTATATTAGCCTATGTCTTGTCCATGTTTTGTATCCCCACTTTGATTTATATTCACCACTGACTATTCTGACTGATTGAAACAATGCAATTTTCTATATCATCAGATTTGACACGGTCATCTTTTCAATAAAAGCTGTCATTAAAACGAATGTCCGCTATTTGAATCTAATGTTTAACGTTAGGACTTTAGATTGGATGAAACTATGATACCAAAAAACGTCATATTTGAGACGGTAAGCTCCATGGAAAAGCAATCACCTGGCCAATTCTAAGACTTTGTGAAAAGCTTTTAATTGTCCTGTTAGAAACTTCTCAGAGAAGCTATTAATTTTCTAATTGCCAGTTTTTTGCAAAAGGTTATAGTTTGCAATTTCCCATGATGAGTTATTACTCACATTGCCATGCAATAGACGTCTACAATACATAATTGAAACGGAAATTGGGTAACTGAATCTACATGTCTGACGTCTTGGCGTCCAAAATTGATAGGTGTTCGTCCTGATCAAGTGTATACAATTTGTATGTCAATGAAATAAACGCTTAGTGGTAATGACATGGTTGGTGATGATAAAAAATATCTCACCCCTGTACAGTATGGCCTGTTAATTACAAATTTATGTTACATTACTGGCAAAAATTAAAACCTCAAAAATCATATTAGCCTATTTTTTGTCCATGCTTTGTATCCCTAGCCGGCAACTTTTTAATTTTATTTTTGTCACTAACGGTAGCAAACTCTTTCAGAGTTCGTATGACAAAAAGAAAATAATGGTAAATAAAGCAGTTTACAAATAATTAAGAAATACAAAATACAAATAATTGTGAAATTTTAATAACTTATTTCTGAAGATTTATATTACTAATGTAGACTATGCAAGCCGATATTCAAATAAGATTAAAGAGTAAAAACGAACGAGACTCTATTAATTCTTGTAAATGAATTATTACAAAAAAGGTATTTTGATCTAAGTAATATGTGGCTATTTTTCTAAAATGTGTAGCTTCACGAATCAATTTGCAAAATTAATCTTTAATAAACTTTCGAAAAGTCGCCTTGACAACTATTCACTACTACTTGAAGGCCAGACATATACATTAAATATATCAATTATTACGTTGTATATACATGAACATAAATCTTCGAAATACAACTCTCAATAAGGCATATAAATGCAAATGAAATAAACAGTTTGTGAGAGAAATTACACCTGCTACAGGTGTAAAAAATGATACTGTTCTTGATAAGGCAGAATAATCGAGTGATGGTCAATCGTCAAAAGAGGCTACTGCTTGGAATAGAGGACTATCATTTCGTTAAATTTTATATGTGGTTAACTTTAAACATGAATGATGAAAATAGTTCAATTATTTTACTTAATGTATGTTTGTCTCAAACACGATTCACACCCCTGAAGATAATAAAACAAAACAAAACAAAACAAAACAAAACAAAACAAAACATAACATAACATAACATAACAAAACAAAACAAAACAAAACAAAACAAAACAAAACAAAACAAAAAAAACAAAACAAAACAAAACAAAACAAAACAAAACAAAACAAAACAAAACAAAACAAAACAAAAAACTACGTAAACTAGTCTATTTATGTTTGCAACTGTAACATGATGTGACAGTTAAATGTTAGACATGACACAATAACAACATCTGTAACACTTGAGAACGCCAATGCTGTCTACTTAATCAATATTTCTTTAGAGGTTAGCGGCACAAACGTTTTTAAGCAATATTTTGTATAGTTGAATGTAAACCAATAAATTGCTGTTTTTTTTTAATTTGCTTCAATATGCATTTGGTTTTCAATTTTAATGTACTTCCATTCCAATAATTATTCTGTATTTTTCAAAAATCAAATTACAGCTTTGACAATGAGCACACACGTGTCTGACGTTCAAATATGTGTTTTCTTGTATAACAAGGAATAAGTACATGCATCTGTCCTTTAACATGAAAATATCTTGGTCCCAGTTAGAGGTAAATAAGTTAATAAAATTTTAACAAATTGTTTGTGCAAATTTCTGTAAAATAATTATGACAGGTTATCCGACCTTCACTTCTTAATATAAGTGTATGAAAGCGCTTAAACAGTAATTTTAAAAGATTTTAAGCGTTGATATTGTAAAAAATACAAATTTATGTATATAACAGAATCTGCTGTCAAGGTGCTTTTTTCGTGAGAAAATACACTTTATAGCTCACCTGGACCTATAAGCCGTGTGTAATATTGCCACCACCGACTTCCAACGTGTTTGAGAAAAATCTCGTCAGAAACCACAGAACCAGTTACAAACGACTTCACTGGAATGATCCTTTCAAAATCTAATAAAAAGGTTGTGTTTTTTGTACTGGCAACCAAACACAATTGCCGCCATGTTAAGAATTCTACACACGGGATTAAACGACAAAATCCAAAATCAGCTTTTATGATTTCTTATTTCGGGGAAGAAAAAAATTATATTAAATTGCCATCACCAACGTCCGACGTTCGTAGTGATTAAAAAAAAACAAGGTTTCTCCTCTGAAACCGTATAGCTTATTGCAACCAATCTCACATGAGGAAACCTTTAAGGAATCTGTTTGTATTTTTGCTTTTAAATGTCGATATTAAGTATAAATAGTGATTGTGTGTATCATCTTGAAAACTTTAGAATAGATTAACAGACATTATTATAGCACAAAAAGTCCAATAAAATTATATCAGTCAATAGATTTCTTATACAAGAAGAAAAACTGACAATTAAATAACCATTTACGACCAAATTTTAGTGTGTTAATCTACTTTCTTTGAAACTACCCAAAAGATAGAAATCAGATGACTTGTATGATCTATAAGTTTGCATATATGATGGGGATCATCTTACTACCACTTTTCTTAGAGAGTTATTGCCCTTTGAATAAAACTTGAATTCTTATTAGAGCATTTCGGTTCATTATCTTGAAAAGTATTGTAGAAATCAAGACAGTGGAAATAGGAAAAATTGCACATGTTGTAAGCAATACTTTGACTGAAATTATCAATAGCTATTGCCTATAAAAATGAAAACAACACGGTATAAATTTCTAGCGTCCGAAGCTCCTTTCTGGATTTAACTTCACCAGGAACGTATAAAGCCAATTATTTGAAAGCCATGGATTATAATTTTCGAAACAGTTGAAGAGCTATATGACCAAAAAGGACCAAAAATAGCCAAAGCCATCTAAGGTCAACTTTACCTGAGGGAGTTAAAACCTTAGTATCATAATAATTTTCATCTTTTTTCTATGATTTTTGATAAAATTTTCCATTTTGTCTATTTCCTTAAAAATGATGACAGAAAGATAGAAACTGTAAACAGAAAACTTATCAGCAATACAAAATGACCCGACATAAAATGCTGACAAGACTGACATCGTTGTTTGATTCCAAATATAGGATTTATTGCTGTTGAAATGAGATATTTGACTTTTTTTGGTAATTATGTTTAAAACTCAAATATGTAACATAAACTGTACACAATCAAACTAATTGTCATAAGACATAAAGATATTTATTTGTCACATGATCGACACTATGAATATATAAAATAACAATTGGGTTATTCAACCTCATACGACGAAAACAAACTGACAATGCCATGGCAAAAAAACTTAAAACGAGTAAAAGACAAACAGTTCACAACACAAAACAAAGGAAATAAAAAAAAACACTGAGCAACATGAACCCACCAGAAACCGGAAAAGGGGGGGGGGGGGTTCAAGTTCGCCGTAAGGGTACACAAATCCTGCTCCACATGTGGAAAAAAGGTAAACTTTACAAATGAATTCCATTCCTAATTTTAGCGTAAAGAAACACTCTGATCCTAGTACCGAGGAAAACAATTCATGGCATTAATCGCACTTTTTACACCCGTCATGTCATGTTTATTTAAATAAACAAAAACATGTAGGAAGAAAAGATAACTATTAATATAAAAATGTTCCGTGTTTGCCAGATGAGCGATTTAATGTGATGTGTCATCGTCAAGGATTTACGCGTCAAGATAAACTGTATTCAAATTACTGAAATACGAACATTATATATGTGGTCGCAGTTAAAATTGAATGCATGTTTTGGAAAGTATTGGTGAAAATGTTGCTCTTCTCTGTCCTCCTTATAAGGCTTATGATTGTGGCGTCTGGATCTAGTTCAATTGGTTTTGATTCCGAATCGTTAATGTCCTGTTCCAAATTTCACTTTGAAGAAAAGGTTTTAGAAAAACTTGTACGTTTGGAACATAAAATGGACTTGAATGAAGAAAAGTTGAAAAAGTGGGAAAAAACATTTTCCAAAAAATTGGAAAAAATGGATGAAGCCATTAAACAAACAGAGATATTTGTAGAATTAATGCGAGATATCCAATTACAGGAACAATCACGACATAATGATTCACGAAATTGTCGAACGCTTCCAGGGTCAGTCGAAAAATGAAACTGAATTTTATGGAGTACAGATGAATAGTTTGCTAGAATCTCTGTCTTCAAAATAGAAGAATTAAGTGTCGCCGACAAAAACAGGCAAAATACTCTAGAATCATTGCAGAATATTCTACACCAAGAGCAGAACCGATTCAATCAATCATTTGATGTTATCCTAGAAAACTTTAGACTGTCCTCGAATAGAACAACTGAAGAACTGACTGCAAGGCAGCAGAAAGGTAGGATTCAATCATCTAATAAAATTTCTACTACGTTATTATGTAGTTATTAGTTCTGATTAAGCAATATAAAAAATGTTTTCTATATTGAAACTTCAATTTTAAATTTAGCAGGTTTCATAGGAATGATTATTTGAATACCTCATATAGAACGGAATCGAAAATGGCATTTTTGATTCACAAAATGATCTAACTTTTCATTATAATTCATAGCATTTCTGACGTTTAAATATCCAATGAACTTAGAATAATTTGTCAACCAACTTTCATAGTTCCACGCTCCTTACCACATTTAGTAAAATCTCTCGCTGAATCATAGTATCATGTTGGAGCTTTTTGGCGAATTTCTCTTGTGTAACCCTATGAAAACTACAAATTTCTAGACCACTAGTCCATATAATATTCTAACACTTATATACACAACAAATACCCAGGTTTTTCTGAAATATTGTGTAATTTCTCTTTTTTTACATTGCTAGTCTAATTAGAATGATTTCATAAATTCGAATTTTTACCCAAAGAGAAAACTTCCTTTTTAAATGAATTTCTGATTCTATTCAATTACACATGTGTTGTTTAAAAAGTTATACATTAAACTGTTCAATTAATCTTTTCGGTTTTAAAACAGTTATTTTTGTGTACGTTAACACGTTATTTGTTTTTGAGCTAGATACGTGTGGCTCTCTTAGTCTTGGTTCATTCTCTATGAAAGTTTTGCATATTTGTCATGTTTAACTATTTAAATATCATAATTAGCATTTAACTATCAAAATCATATGCAAACGAGATATAATATTTAATATCTATCCTTATATTATGAAATGTTATTCATGAATACTAATTTTGGAGTGTTGAAATTTATACAAATTTAGACATGGCTATGATATAGGTAAATGACCTTCAGAAATGTTTCACAAACTTAAATTTAGCATTCAGGCTTTATCCAGCGATATAGGATACAAATAAAGTTACATTTTTCGTGGTATTTTGTATTCATGTGCAACATAGGCGTAACACATATTCAAGGTGCATTGCTTAATTCAATATTGCCTTACTCATTCAATTTAAATCTTGTGATTAAAGACGGATATTGAACATGAAATGTCCTACAAAAGGATATTTAAACATACGAATTAAAGATAATGTAGAGTATCGCCTTAATCTTCAAAAATCATCACATAACTTAAAATTTTATAAGTACTGTACAATCTGAAATAATGATCGAGAATCAACAAAAACAGTATGTATAACACGTAATGCAATTATTTCACAGATAAAATCTTGTTAATTTCACTTAGTTTCATCAACTTCTCGATTTTGATCTTTTTGATGTACAAATAAAAACAGAACTTTTAAAAACGATTTGATACTATAAAATAAAGAATATCCAACATTATATCAACAATAAAAAAAGAATATTTTTATTTAAATATTGATTCTGTAAACTTGAAACAATTAATCATTTCTTTTTATAATATTATACATGGTACTGTTTATGGCAGTTGTTATCAAATAGTCCGTTTCTATGTATGTTAGCGTTTGTTTCTGTTGCAGTTCAGTGTTTCTGTTGTTCCGTTGTTTTCCTCTTATAGTTGATGTGTTTTCTTCGGTTCTAGTTTGCAACCCGGATTTGTTTTCCCTGAATCGATTTATGACCATTGAACAGCAGCATGCTACTGTTGCGTTTATTTTAAGATTTGTTTGCAAATCAATTCTTTATGGTATTCACTTTATAATCATAAATTCATTCATACATTTATATGAACTATTTTATAAATATATATATATGTATTATTTATGCAGATTATGAGGTATTGATAAAGAAAGAGAATATTGTGGCATTCTCAGCTTGCACTATGAAACGACAGGATATTACAAGAAATACAAATATAATCCAAGTACCGGGTTATTTACTGCTCCACGTCAAGGCGTCTATCACATTACAACAGTTGTTATGTCTACGAATAATGGGGAACTTTATCTCCATCTCAAACACAATAACGACTATACAGCTGGAAGTTATGTTACGGGCAATGGCTATAAGACTGGTTCATTCGATGTTGTATTGAATCTAAAAGAAGGAGACAAAATATCTGTTGGAAGTACGGGAAGTTATAGTGTGTACAGTGACAGTGCTAAATATACTACATTTTCTGGACATCTTATCGCATAAACAGATTAACTGCTGCAAAGCAGAATGGTTTTTGTTTTTCAGTTGGCCATTTTTTATGCACTTTGTTTTATTTACTTGAATAATAATAACGTGCTATCTATTTGATATCTAAGCTGAATAAATATGTAGATGATAATTTTTACAAAGTTTGCGAGTGCAGCTGTTTTGGTGACACTTCTTTTCCACCAAATTATGTAATGTAAACAATAAAAATTGCAAGTTTGACATACTTTTACTTTCCTGATGCATTTTGCATGGAAAACTCTGGAATTAGATATAGATTTCATTATGAATTAACATTTAAGATCTGTCTAAATTCCATCAAATAGAAAACATTTATCACTCGACCAAAATTATGACGATATATTTGCTTTTCTGTTAATACTATGGCAATTTACATTTTAATTAGGATTTTATAAAAATAAACAAATAGTTATAATTGTTCATTTCTTGATTTGAATTTTCAATTACACATGTGAGCTCTGTACGACAATTTACCACAAAAGAGACGATTTTTGCATTTCTTCCTTTTAACTTTTCTGTTTTGGACGGTTGTCTTCTTCCTCTTACGTTTTGAATATCTCAAAACTTGTTAGCTATTGTTTATTACATATTGCGGATTACTTTAATTAAAATCTAAAAACTTAAATATCATAGACAGGTGATATCTGTGGTAATTTTTGTTAAACTTTGACGATTGTTATCTGTATACAAAATATTGATGATTAAATCAGTAATTTCATTACCACAAAGAACATTAAACTTTTACTGCGCTGTTTAATTGATAAACAAAATGGGTTGAAGGTTGGAGTGCATGAATAGACATCTTTAGGAAAATGGCAAATTACATTCTCATGATTAGAATGATGTCGTTTATAGAGAACATATATTTTGATACTTTGTATTCCATATAAGCTAATTGTTCCTTTGAATAAAGCCATTCTTAAATATGATCATTTTAGAATTGTGGTAAAATCTTAAAATGTTGTCATAATTGGTAATAAGTTTGGTTTTATTTGTAATATTTCGATACAAAATAAACATGATTTACATCTGGTCAAACATCCTGTCGAAACTGATATTTCTGCAATGCATAATGTCCTGCTTTTTCCTGTATGACTAGGACGTCTTTCATAAAATAAGTTTGAAATGTATGTTTTGATACATAATTTTAGTTGGAAGTGAGCTTTGGACTAGTTGACTAATATCACTACTTACTTTTTGGTTTTTTTTGTTATTTGTTTTTGTGGTTACGATCTGCTTATTTGTACAGATTAATGTTATGTTGTGCATACATATGTATAGTCTTGTAGAGGAAACGTGTCTTGTTGACGTGTAAACCATTCATAGTAGCTACTAGATAGTTATAGTACGGAATTGACAATATAAGATGAGTAAACAGCTCAGACGCCATACGTTTCTTCCCATGGGCAACTTTCACAAAGAAAACTGAGGGAAAATGTTTTAGAGATAAAATAGTTTTTCAAAAATATTTTAATGAACTTAAAAACGTGTGCTATAAAGTTTATTAAAGTCTATTTTGTACCTTTATGCATGAAGTGGCTCATTTCATGTCAACAGAGTTACAATTGTTTATAAGTAATAAAAAAAATATTGATAAATCGACCAATAACATATGATCACTATGTAAATCACAACTCGTTCGCTATGCCCGTGTCTTTAGTGGTGTTTTCGATTTCAATAAACGTAATCTATGTACTACTGGTAAATTATTAGGTCAACAATTTCGTTACTGCAAATCACGTAAAACCTTTATTAAATTCTTCTGTAGATACAAATATTTAGCTGTACATATATAAGACTTATTACACACATGGTTAACATCTGTCTATTTGATCAATATGTCTTTAGACGCTAGCGGCACTAACGTTTTCAATCGAACATTTATATTTAGATGAACAATAATTTATTGGTTGGAAGAATAATTGGAGGATTATCTGATTTACAAAATATGCATTTTTTTTTTAATTTTTATGTACATTTCACGCCAATAAATGTTTTATATTTTTCAAAAATTAAATGACAGTTTTAACAGTAAGCATACACACCTCTGAAGTTAAAACATGTGTTACTTTTACAACAACACAGATCATAGAATACATACACTATTAAGACAGGGATTTCGTTACCACAAATGACGTAAAACCTTTTCTAAATTCCCCAAAAGATACAAAGATTTGGTTTGCAATTTTGGCTGTACCTGTAGACAACTTATATCAAACGAAATAGCACATTCTAATGTTTACGGTAATGTTGTTTACCGAGCCTGGAAATTAAAACCTTGATACTAAATATTATTGTTATATACAATTGCACATGGTACTACAATCTGTCGATACCTATATTTTGCGATTGTACAAGGTCATGTTTTTCTCTGACTGATAATGATGTCTTTACACTAAATCCATTGCATATTGGATTAATGTGTACTGGTTGATATATTTGTCTTAGAAACCTGATTTTTTTTGTAGGAGCTATTATTGGCTTCGAACAAGATGTCAGTTACTGCGAATACTCTCATATCTGTACTTTATGTCTATTTTGTTGTTAGGGTGTATAAAAACCTTACTACGTCAGCTCTGTGTTTTTGTTAAATGTTTGTCTTCTTTGTATCGATCTAATGAGTTAACTTCAGCTGATTTTTATATTTTATTCATATATTGTAACATTACTGCACAAATTAAAGGGAAAGGTTGTTTTCTCACAAAAAAGTCACATTCTTCATGGGACTTTCCCAGGTGAGTAACCGGTAGTGGTTGACTTTGGTTCATGTCTGTAATATTTTTTTTCTCAATTAGATTGATTCATATTTTTATGTCTGTGGCTTTTTGCGACTATATAGTTTGTGTTTTCCATACGGTTGCCTTTAATTAGTTACATCCACATAATTTGAAGGAGTCTCATTTGCAATCATACAACATTTCCCCATTAATATATGTATCTGTTTTTTAACACGATTGTCTCTTGGTCATAGCTTGAAGTAAATAAGTTAATAAGATTTTAAAGTTTAACATCTTGTTTAAGCAAGCTTCTGTAAAGTCATTATGACAAGATCTCAGACCTTGACTACTTGATGTAAGTATATGAAAGCACTTAAAACAGCAAACAGCAATGATAAGGCAATTATTTTACATTTGTCAAAATTCCGTTCGTCGTTAAAGATTTTAATCGTTATATTGTCAAAAATTTCCATTTATACATTCATCCGACTCAGCTGTCCTGGTACTTTATTTCGTGTGAAAATAGAATATTATGCTCACTTGAACCTATGAGCCGAGTGTGATATTGCCATCTCCGACAAACGTTGAAATTTTAAAAGAAAGAGAATACTCGTCTTAAACCACAGAATCAATTTCAACAATATTCCGGCATGAAATAAGAAAAGTTCAACCAACATGGCAGCCATGGCTATGAATCGAACATACGGCGTAAAATGTGAGATTCAGCTAACAGGATACCTCATTTCGGGGAAGAAGAAGTAAGAGTTTTAGATAACATAGCCTCATACTATTTCGGACGTCTGACGTTCGTAGTGATTTAATAAAAACTCGTTTAAAATCATATAATCAATTACAACTAATCTCTTCTGAATAAACATTGTTGGGTCCTTTTAAGTTTAAACCCTTAAATTACAATATCGAGTAATGAGGGTCATTTTGAAAACTTTAATATATTTTCAAAATGTGAATCGCTCAACAAATCATATTTTCTTTATCCGTCAATTTATTTCTTTAACTAGTAGTAGAAGACACCATTACATCACAATTTACCATCAAATTTAAGTGTTTCATCAACTTTCATTGAAACTACCTAAACAAAAAAGAAATAAGATGTAAAAAAATTCAAAGAGAAACAGACTGTGCAAAGTTTGTAAAATTTTTGATGATGAGGAACATGAGGAACACTTTTTCCTTCATTGCCAAATTAACAGTTATATTAGAAATCCCCTTATAAATGCAATTAAACCCCATTATCCTAATTTTAACCAGATTGACTCAAACTCCAAACTTAAAACTATTCTAGATCCCAATAAAGATATTTTGACTAGTGTTGTAGACTATACAAAGCAATCTATGGAATTGCGAAAATAAGGTCCACATTGGTCAATTATATACTTATAGTATATATATATTATTAAAATCAACTTGACTTGTTTAAAACATTTATCATGTATTGTATGTTTCTTGTCACTTGTATATTATGTTTGCATTTTAACCCGTCAGAGTTTCACTTTTTTGCAATAAAGTTATATATTTATTATAATCTATAAATTGCATATATGAAAGGCAAAAATCTCTTATGTTAGCATTCATAAACAGTAGTATAGAAATAGACAGTGAAAATTAAAAAAAAATGATTAGCAATGTCTTTGGCTGAAACCCTTAATAGCTATTGCCTTTAATCCTCTGTAACGCATAATGTTTTTACTATCGTCATTGACAGGACCGTTATTGATTAAAATTCGGATCATGATCCTGCAATTCGTAGCTGAATATTTTTATAATCATTCATCTGATCATGACAACAAATAGATATTGTTCAAGAAGTGTCCAAATTATCCAGATCTTAATTCGATTCGGATCTGATGTTATCTTTCGCACTGCAAAATCGATCGAATCTGTCCTAAAAGCATCGCTATTCTCTTGAAAACGAGCCGACAGAGATCAGATAGTAACCAGAGAGTTTTGATCAATCTTAGCATTTTCGTGTATTTTCTTGATTACAATGACAGAAAGATAGAAACTGGTAACAAGAGCACCAACCATCCTGACGATAATAACAACGTTGTAAGGATCAAAACAGATGAGTTATTGATAAGCAAATTGAGTTACTAGTATACGTATAATAATTCAGTTGTAATTTTGTTTAAATAATTTTTTAATTCGTAAAAGACATGAATGTTTGTAAACTGTAACGATTAATTCTTTCCCAATTTTAGCGTAAATAAACAATCTAATCTAGGTCCTGAGAAAAACAGTTACTGGCATAAATTGCACGCATTACACCCGTCATGTCATATATATTTTAACATGAAAATGAAAAAAATGAAAAAGTTTTATGAACAAACGATAACAACATGAACAATAAACATAAAATTGTGTGTTTGCCTGGTGAGCGATTCAGTTTCGTATGCAAGCATGTGATTTGTCATCGTCAAGGATAACAGCTTTAGAATAAAAAAAAATCAAGTTACTGAAATACGA